AAGAAGCCAATTAGTAAAAGTATTGCTCTCTCTCTTGATTGCTTCATTTGTTTCTCCCAGCTTATTCAGCAGATTGTTGGTCATTTGTTTCTCTAAACTGTGTTTGATTTAGATGAATGGATATAGGGAAACTTCATTCGGCAACCAATATAATCATAAATAACAGTCAGTTACCTATAACTTTATGAACCAGTACCAATCAGAGGGGTCATTAAAAAAACCAGGGACTACTGGACACTTGTTTTGTTCTAGTTTGAGACTGTTCATCAGGCATTAGGCCCCGCGTCCAAGTTCGCTGACTGTTCAGCCACTTGAATCTGAAATTAATCACCCATAAATTCCAACTTTGTCAACTCATGATACAGTGCTACCCTCAGCAAGCCACTGGCGTGGATGAGCATCATGGGTGGACACTGCTGAGACGTCCCAAACTGGCATGAAACAGCGTGTGTCTAGCGCTCCATGATTTTCAATGACCTCTAGAAATCATATTAGTTTAGGAATACATTTATCAACTGAAATCGAAATCCAGATCTCAACAAATCTCATAATCTTGAGTTACATTATATTATTTATTTGAATAAGGTGAACTGGTAAATGAGCCTAATGAGGAGTTAGGTGTTCAGTATTATTATTATTATCATTATTATTATTAACAGATGCCTATTTGGACTCATTATTCTAAGGTGACTGACTTCTATGAAACATTTTGTCAATTATAATGTGAAAGGTGATTAGCATCATTTAGACTAAAATTAACGATTGATGATGATATTTTTACATGATTTTCGATGCAAAAAATATATGTATTAACACACACTGACCTCATTCATTTCATTCTCATTTAGCTTATTTGACTGTAATGTGTAATTGTTTCACAGTTTTTTATTTCATATTTTATTATTTTATACGACTAAGCATGCAAGGGGTAAAAGCATGCCCTGGGTGGTTGGTTATTCAGGTTATGGCGTTTCATTTTTCATCAATATATATATACGATCTCTTTTGGTTTTTCATTTGTACACACATACATAGATGATACCTTTTCCAGGTGGAAAAAGAATGTTATTAACGTTATTATTATTTCCCCATAAGATTATCCCGATAACTGACTACTACTGTGCTCTGCTTTGAAAGAGAGAGAGAGAGAAAGAGAGGAGAAAGGCGAACGTAGAAAAGGGGAATAAGACATACAAAGGTAGAGGGGGAGGGAGAGGATACACACCAAATGATGAAATTAGTTCCATGTGTACCATTTAATAGATTATGCCTTTTTTACTTTTCCCTATTTTCTTTGTTTCAGGACAAACATTAACCACAAAGGAGGAGAAATGATGAAAAGAATGAAGGGATAAGACGAATATAACGTGTGGGAGGGGGCGGGAGCGCAAGTGGGAGGTGGGCGAAGGGAGGAGAGGCATTAGGTGTGTAGAAATCTCTTCCTTAATATGATTTGAATGATGCAATATATATATATATATCTGTAGTATAATTTTGACCTTAAAATCAAAGAACATAGCCTTCATCATTTTTGGAAATCAATTAACGAAATAAAGATATAGACTATTCGACAAATTAATGGATGAAAAAGATGTAGAACGTTGTAGGCAAGTATTTGAAGAATGCAGGCAGAAATTTAGCGTGATAAGTTCTTCGATATTGTGCTTGCATAGAGAATTGAATGACTACTAATACTACTGTAACAATAGACGATAAGGGCCAGATAACAGATCCTTTATTGAGAAAATCAAGAGATAATCATAGATTTTTATGGACTTTATTGTTAGTGGAGAAGCAACGTCTTCTGAATAGTTGTTTTCTTGTACTGTACTTCTTGTGACCGTTTCTTATAAAGTCAGGCCATATATCTGCGAATCGTATTTGCATACGCTAAGTCTGCTGTGATTGGTTGGTGACTTACTCAAGGTTAGGCTTTGTTATTGTTTTTTCTCATGACCCCAACTTAACATTGACGAAAATTATTATTATTATTGTGTCCTTTAATTCCTAGAGGAACATAGGGCTTCAGCCGTGCGTCTCAATTGCGTTCGGTTCTCTGCTAGAGTCTTCACCTGGCTCCATGTCTGCCCACACGTTTTCATCTACTCTTCACATGACCTCCTCCAAGTCAACCTTGCACTGACGACCAACTCGCCGCTTCCCTTTCGGGTTCCACTCGAACGATGGCTTGTTTAGTGATGTCACTTGATGGTTTGCTTTCTCAGAGTATGGCCAATGCATCTCCATTTCTTCCTGCCTATTTGTTTCACAGTCGGTTCCTAGTTGGTTCGCTCCCAGAGATCCCTGTTTCTGATCTTTTCTGGCCATCTGATCTTGAGTATTGAGCGAAGACAACTGTTAATGAAGGTCTGTAGTTTGTTTGAGATGGTCTTTACGACGCGCCAAGTCTCTGATCCGTATAGTAGCACTGACTTCACAATGGAGTTGAAAATCCGGAATATATTTTCATTTTCATGCTGAGTGCTGTTGACCTCCACACAGACTTGAGAGTAATGAAAGCTTGTCTTGCTTTTCCGATTCTTGATTGATATCCTCATCAGTTCTGTTCACCTGTAGTTGAAACGATGCTTCACAGGTAGGTCAGTAGGTAGAGGAGGTTGCTTCTTTCAGGTTCCTTCCATTTATGCTGATTGTTGTCTGTTGTTGCTGCTGTTGGTGGTGTTGGCCAGGAATCTTCATCGCCTCTGTTTTCTCTATGTTCATCTGAAATCCTATCTTTGATGGTTCTTCTGCCAACTTGTTGCTTTTCGCTTGCATATCTTCCAGTTTGTGGGAAATCAGACATATATCATCGGCTGTTTACAATTTTTGGCTTGCAGACAGCTCTCACCACACTACTACTACTGTTACGATTTTTAATAAAACTTGGCGGGATATTTATGCTTGAGTCCACTTAATAGGAGGAAATTTATATTACTATTATTGTTCCGTTGTGTGCCATTTGGAATATAAGGCTTCAACGGAACGTCTCCATTTCATTCTCTCTTCTCTGCAGTCCACATTAACTGGCTTCACAATTGCCCATTAACATTCATTTCTTTCCCTTACGATCTTATGCGTACCACCCTCAAAGCGACGATCGAGTCATCGTTTCTAGTTCAGGTGGAACTTGAGTGTCTACCTGGGACGCGTTGTCACTCAACAGTCTCCTCAACGTATGTCCAGTTCACGTCCATTTCCTAAGGCGATATTTACTGGGAGATAGACTCCTGGTTGGTCCACTGCATCGGAAAAGTTCCTTGGTGATAATTTTTTCCAGTCAGGTATCTGATCTTCACTACAGAGACAATACAAGTCACACCTCTTGGTAAGAGTCTGCAGTAACACTTGTTCGAATTGCTTTTAGTGAAGTATAGAGAGGAAGTGACTTGACATTTATGCTGAAAATCCAAGTCTTGTGCTTTATGTTCTGTGCAGCAGGTTCTCTCACTGACTTCAGATGAATGAATATCTTTCTTTCTTTTGTTTCCCATTCTGGCTGGCTTCAGTCTCTTCACGCATGGCGCCTGTAGCTGAAATGATACCTCTTTCAAAAGCAAAATCTCCTGTCAGTACTCTTCTTCGATTTGTAATTCGTAGATGATCATCTCTGCAAGTCTTGATAAAGTAAGTATACATGAAATTTCAATCTTCAAAGAAGGCATGCTAAAGTTAATCATAAGATATTGTTTTGTGAAATATTTGTGGGCTATATACACTCTTCAACCTATAAAAGGCTGTCCCACATGCACGGAAAACTTTTAAAATATTCTTTCACAAAAAAAATAAAAACAAAGTATTCTTAATTTCTAGATTATGTCTATATGTTACACTTTCATGTGTTCCTGGAAATCAACAAATTCGGAATTTTACTTGTGGCCTGACATAGTTTAGGCTATGTCAATGAACAAAATTAAACATTAAGTTCAGTACTGAAGATATTGTTCAGGAAGACCGTTGAATACTTCACAACTAAACCATTCATCTCAGAATACGGAACAACACCAAAAAAGCGGTATGGAAAATAATTTGTAGCAACAATAAAAGCAGTGGTATTAGGATCAACACGAAGTGATTTAGAAACTGTTTTAACACCATGGAGAGCTCGAAAGCTTGATCACAGCCTCATTCATCGGCTATATATGCTGGTGCCGTATGTCAAAGGATTCACAACAGAAAACACAATGATGACTTTTAGGTGAAGGCACTGTAATAAGACAAGGTGGATTACTGTAGCTGATGACATTATTGATTGTGGTGGACTGGATCATGCGCCAGGCTGTGAGAATTGAGAAGACAGGCATACGGTGGACCGAAAAGATTAGAATATTTTTGAACTTTGCGGATGATTCATGTCTAATGCCATACAAACTGGAAGATATACAGGCGCAAACCAACACGTTGGCAGGAGAGGCAGGCAGCGAAGATAGAACTTCGAATGAACATAAAGAAAATGGAGGTGATGAAGATACCTAACCAACCAGACAGCATCAAACACCATCAGCAAGAGGATTTCGAGGGAGGTCACCACTTTCACCTATCTAGGTAGCACCATTTGAAATACAGACTGCATGGATGAAGATGTCGAAGCCGAGACTGGAAAGTCTGGAAATCTGCTGCACTTAGTATTGAGAACAAGATTCAGATTTTCAGCACTAATGTCAAGACAGTACTTTTGTATAGTTCAGAGACTTGATGTGCTACCAAAAGGATCTTGAATAGGCTGCAGAATCTCATCAGCATCTGTATCCAATCCATGGTGGAGATCTGATGACCTACCGGAAAGGATTAGCAACAAGAAACTCTGGGAACGAACCAATCAAGAACCCACTGCTGAACAAGTAAGTAGAAATAATGGAGATGGATGAGTTATACACTGATGAAACCGTTGAGTTATATAATGTTCCAAACCGTCGAGTTAGACTCGAATATCAGACGATGAGTTTTATTTAATTAACAAAAGTAGAAAGCAACAATGCAGAAAGTAACACTTTACTAACCTTTTTACTTCGAGGAGTCATCTGTTTACTTTTCCCATTTAATTCAGCGTTTGCTCCAGTGTTTTCATGGTTCAGTTTAAACAGTTCAGGATCTTGTTAAAACAAAAAATTTTGAAAAAAACAAACAAATTAATTAGGTTTAAGTTATATTTTTTCTTTCCAACTAGTAAACTTTATATTGGACTGAAATGTGTGCAGTCTATGTTGACTTGACTCAAATAAATAATAACTTGTACTCATTACACAAGAGGTGCATGTCATGACCTAGTTACCTTGGCGTTTGCATTGTCTTGGTGGTTGAGTTCAAGTCTTAGGTGGGAGGATTATCACCCACTGGGATACGAACCCAGGACCTTCTGGTTACAAGGCGAGCTCTTTGGCCATTATCCCACTGGGATACACTCCATTAGCTTAGGAAGAGTCCCCAGACTCGGGCGTAATAGCTGTCCAGTACTCCTTACTGGTCTTCTAATGGTTCCGTAACTGATGTCAGCTCGCAATGAAATCTGTAATCCATCAAATCCCTACAAACCAACATTTCATAAATAATAATAGTTTTATTCAAGGGAAAGCTTTAATGCACAGTAAAAGATTTATAGGAAACTTTGTTACAAGGTATTTACTCATAGTATTGAAGCAGTACTTCTGAATATTGAGTCGGCGGCACAGCGGTTAGGACGCTCGCTGACTATGCACATGGCCCAGGGTTCGATCCCCGGCCACCGACGCACTCCTTTACCTCGCTAAACCAGAAATAAAAGCTCGTAAAGAGGTTGAAAGGTTGGGCATGAGGCTAGCAACCCCATTCTGTAAAAATAAACACTGCTACAGAAACTTCAAGCCTCTAGCTTGAAGCCCAATGTTCCACTGAGAACGTGAAGGAATCGAAAAAATACTTCTCATTGTGAAGTATGCTCCAATACTATACAATGCTTTCTCCCATCTCCTTCAAAACAATACTACCAGTAAGTTGAAACCTATTTGAAAATGTGTGTGGCAAAGTTAAAACTTAAACACTACTAACTACCAATCAGCGAATGACCTCGAACGCGCCAATCACATGAAGGAGGCATTTTGTGTGTGGAATACATATATTTATGAAAAAGATGCATAAAAACTGTAGAAGAGTGTTACAGAGGATACCTTCCTGTGGCATGTGATAAAATTTGTTTCCGGTTTTAGGTTAGAGTATTAACACAGTGTAATTCCATTGTGGGTAAAATTTATTTTGTTGAAGTCTCATATTGTAATAGAGTAATATTTAGTGGGCAGTAAATTGTGCTCGAAAAGTCATCAGTAAATATTACTGTATAACATCCTGAGACTTTATCAAAGTAAATTTTACCCACAATGGAATTATACTCTACCACAGTGCAAAGTTTCTGTAGCAATTTGGTTAAGTTTTGGGGGTGGAGTCGCTAGCACCACGCCCCAAACCTCCCTCTTTATCCGGGCTTGGGACCGGCTAGAAAACTAGTGAGCTAGTAATCTAGGTAAGGTGTCTTCGTTCTATACTCAAGATCAAATGGCCGGAAAGAATCCCCAACAAGAAACTATGGGAACAAACAAAACGAGAACCAATCGCCCAACAAATACGCAGGAGAAAGTGGAGATGGATTGGACACTCGCTGAGGAGGCCGTTGGATGACATCGCGCGTCAGGCCATAGGTCGAGTGGAACCTGAAAGGGAAGTGGCGAGTGGTTCGTCGGTGCAAGGGTGACATGGAGGAGAACGTGTGAAGAAGAGTTGAAACAGTATGGACTAACATGGATGCAAGTGAAAAGTACAGCAGAAGACAGAAGCAAGTGGAGGCGTGCAGTTGAAGCCCTATGTTCCACTAGGAACCCAAGGGAACAATAATAATAACAATAAACAGTGCACAAGTTCTATTCTTATATCAACAGAGTAATATAACCACATTCCATGCATGTAATCATAAAGGTCTTCTAACCATAACATTAACCCTAAACTTGTTTGAACCTAACCCTAACGTGCAAAATCTCTAAACTAACCATAATCTAACTCGTACTAACCATAATGTCGCCTTTATTGGGTTAACCTAACCCTAACTTTTCCTTAGCTTAAAAAGTACCTTAATCTTTCCCAAACCTAAGCTGTAACTTGCCAGATGTCCCATTTAATAGCATAACACTTCGATGAGGATATTTTATTGATGATGACAATATGATTTGCCAGGTTTCACTAACTTGCTCAGTGTGCGTTTCAAGGTCATTGGTGCAGTCTCACTCCATTGGTAGTTGTTAGTGATGCTTGAAGTTTAACTTGGCCGGAAAACATTTTTGTTTTCAACACCCTCAATAGACCTCAGTATTTTTGTTTATTTGAAAAGGAAAATATGCATATATCTATCCATTTGCTGTTCTTTTTATTCCTTCAGATATACCTAATTACGACTGATTTTTCTAAAAATCTATCTATAAATAATTAGTGGGATATAAAATCAGCGCTGATGATGTTTACTGGCCCAGGTTTGAAATTTCCTCCTATTCACCGGCGCATATTTCTTTCCCTTCTTTTTTTCCGTTTCATATAATCAGATGAAACAAAATAACGCTGAAGAGGAAGTTTTATTTATTTATTTATTATTTTCTAATTCACTGGTTAATTTATGTGTTTTTACTACCTGAAAAAAACTGTTTTCATTTGTCTATGAACTATCTTGTTTATCTGTTGATTTGTTTGTTTGTTCGTTTGTGTCTCTATATGCACATCTTCTCCGCAATTTGGAATTATCTAACCGGTATATACTGTACTTCTTTTTGAATATTAAGCCACTTGTAGTTGTTTACAGACGAAAATGTATCGCTGGCATTTAGATTAATTAAACTGTTTACAGCTGGTTTATATATGTGTAAGGATATCGCTGGATTGCGGAGAATATAGGCAACACAGCATGCTGGTTATCGATTGACAGTGTTCCTCAGCTTGTGTTTCATTAAGTAGACGTTGTGGTAGATTTTTATGTGACTGTGTTTAAAGGCACTTCATTAAAACAAGCCCCAGAGGTTAAGGATTTCATTGGCGGCCTGCTTAAATCATTAGGCTACCTAAATTGTTTGTAACAAAATGAAAACTGTTATAGATAGAGTACTTAACACTGTCGTCTTTTCTCCCTTTCAGGAAAACAACCTGGAGTTTATTCCGTGGAGCAAGAGGCACAACATCTATCAGGTCTCAATATCAATGATGACAACTGGACTGTTTTTGTTTGTGAGGGCTTGACCCACGCTCTCTGATTTTTGCCATTGTACCAAATTCACGCTCTTACCGAGCTCTCGTTCTGATTCTCTTCCTGATGTGATCTTCGCTCATTGTTTTACATGTTTATCCACGTAACTGTACTCTGTTTACTATAATTCATATGTATACTCAGTCACAGCTTCAAATAGGTTTCAACCCACTGCTACAAACTGCCTCACGGAGATGAAGGAGAAACACTGCGGATAATTAGAAGATGTCTCGCATAAAACAAAATCGCTTTATTTGATTTATTACCGTCTGTTATAATACTTAAAGATTCTGAACAAAGAGTAAATACCTTACGACGAATTTTTCAGAAATAAAGTTATTATTATTATTAAAGGTGATAACTAAAATGTGAATGAAATCACTGAGTCCCTTGAAAGCAAAGTAGGTGACTAATTCTACCAAAGAGATGTTCATCATTTACTATCTCCTGTCAGTAGGTCTTGCAGTCTCGATTCCTAGCTGGTGCAGTCCATAACTCCACTAACACGATGAGAAGCCTGGAAAAGAGGAAAGTTTGGGAGTGAGGCAGTCAACTCCCGCTAGCCCAATTGAAACAGTAACATCAATGCCACCGAGACTGCGAAGCTAAAAGCCTGAAACCCTTTGTCTCACTCGAAACTTAAAGATATGGTGAAGAAATGTCCTGAGCTACGGATAACAGCTGTTATTCTTGACTCTTGGTCTCTTTATATGAACGAAGCATAATTTAATATATTTGAATGCTTGTTTCGTGTCTCATAGGCTGTTTGAACATACAGTAGTTTGTAAAACGCTTTATTTTTACATGCAGTTTACATATATTACAGGAATTTGTATTCTAGACGTGACATCATGCTTAAGGAACAAATGTAGAGTGATGGGAAGGCAATCTGTTTGTATGAAGCCAATGTAGTAGCGTTTGTACTTTCACTAACAGATGTCTAAGGGAATATAGTGTTGTATTGTGTTGCAGGAAAAAGAAGGGTATTTATATCATTACTCATCAGTCACTATCAATGATTGGAACTTGAAGCAGGTTGCTTCTTTCATTTATCTAGGTTGAATTGACCAACTACAGTCGGTACACACGAAGATCCGAAAGGAAAGATAAACTTTTATTAGATTGCGTGGAGGATTTCATCAAGAGCTGAAATCAGATACAGAACCACTGGAAAACCTTGGAGTACTGAACAGCTGTTTCCTTCTAGTTTGGGACGTCGTGTGTGATTTGCCGCAGATCATGTGAAGAGGAAATGAATGCTTATAGGCAACTGTAGAGCCAGATAAGGAGGACAGCATAGAGAACATTGAAATGGAGATGTCCTGCTGAGGCCTTATGTTCCACTGGGAATTAAAGGCAGTAATAATAAGTATATTATTTCTATCCGACTGATAATGGTTAGTAAGGTAATGGAAAACAAGACAAGTATTTCTTCCTGTCATGGGAATTTTCATCTGGATACACCTGTATCTCAGTGAATAATGATATTGTTTCGACCGGGACTTGATTCCAACACCCATCACTTCAAAATTCAAAATGTTGTCCAGTACAGTGTTACATCTTTTTCATATTGGATGATCATATGATAGTCAGAGGTCTCGGAAAACCACGGATCACGTTTCTTCAGAGTACACCAATGATCTCGCCTGGGATTTAGCCAGCAAACTTCAGGTTAGTTACATGATTTCATCATGAGCTGACATCAATCAGAGAACCATTGGAAAACCTTCAAGGAATACTTAACAACTGCTTCGTCCCACTAGTGTGGAACTCTTCAGTAGTACGCAACCACCCACCCCCAGGGTTCGAACCAGGGACCTTCTGGTTACAAGGCGAGCTAG